TAAAAATGGTCTAAATTCCGAGATTTAAGGTCAGAATTTAATGAAAGTCTGAATTCTGTAAATTTGGAATTCCATAGAAAAAACAAATGTCCTAATTCCAAGATCTAAATTCAAGCTAAAACAATTGTTAAGATTTAATCTCAGAATTCAATGGTTAATTTTTTTTTTTAATTCAGAGATTTAAACTCAAATTCCATAAATAAAAAAATTCTGAGACATGAACTCAGAAATTTGTTAAAAAAACATCTGACATGCAAAATCAAAATGCCATGGTTTAAAAAGAATCCAAGATTTAACCTCAAATTTTATAGTAAAAAAAGATTGAGATGTAACCCCGGAATTCCATGGCAAAAAAAAGTAATCCGAGATGTAAACACAGAATTCCATGGTAAAAAGAAAAAAAATCAGAGCTGTAAACTTAGAATTTAATCCCGAATTACATAGTAAAAAATTCAGAAGTAAACTTCCATGGAAAAATATTAAGATTTAACCTTAAATTATATGGTAAAAAAAAATAATAATTGACATGCAAAATCAAAATACCATGGTTTAAAAAGAATCCAAGATTTAACCTCAAATTTCATGGTAAAAATATTTTGAAATAAATAAACACAGAATTCCGTGGTAAAAAGAAAGTCTGAATTCTAAGATGATGCAACCTTGAAATCCATGGTTAAAAAACAATTCAGTTTTAAAGCCAGAATTCCATGGTAAAAAAATGTTGAGATGTAATCCTAGAATTCTATGGCAAAAAAAAAAAAAAAAAAAACATTGACATGCAAAATCAGAATGCTATGGTTTAAAAAGAATCTAAGATTTAACCTCAGATTTCATGCTAAAAATATTCCAAGATGCAAAATCAGAATTCAGTCAGAATGAGATGTATACTCAGAATTTCAAAGCAAAAAATAATAATAATAATAATAATAAATAAAATTAGAATCTGAGGTGTAAACATAAAATTCCATGGTAAAAAAAAAAAAAAAAAATTCAAGATTTAACCTAGAATTCCATGGTAAAAAATATTTTGAGATGTAAACAATTCACCAGTAAAAGGAAAGTCTGAAATCAGAGATGTAAACTCAGATGTCTATGGTTAAAACAAAAATGTGAAATGTAAATTCAGACTTGCATGGTCTTTTAAACACTGTCTAAATTTCGAGATCTAAAGTCAGAATTTAATGAAAGTCTGAATTCTGTAAATTTGGAATTCCATAGCAAAAAAAAAAAAAAACAGACTTGCATGGCATAAAATGTCCTAATTCTAAGATCTAAATTCAAGCTAAAATAATTGCTGAGATTTGATCTTAGTTAATTATTTTCTTTCAAAATTCAGAGATTTAAACTCAAATTCCATGCTAAAAATATTCTGGGATGTAAACCCAAAATTCCATGGTAAAATAAATAAAATAAAAAATAGATAGATAAGCAAAATCAGAATGCTATGGTTAAAAATAAATCTTTTTAAAGATTTAACCTCAAATTTCAAGGGAAAAAATATTTTGAGATGTAAACACAGAATTTCGTGTTAAAAAGAAAGTCTGAATTTAAAGATGTAGCCTTGAAATTCATGGTTAAAAAACAATTCAGAGTTTTAAATCCAGAATTCCATGGTAGAAAAAAAACATATTATGCACTAAACCTCGAAATCCATGGTGGAAATATTGTGAGAAGTAAACTCAGAATTCTGATAAAAAAAAACATCTGACATGCAAAATCAGAATGCTGTGGTTAAACAAGAATCCAAGATTTAACATCAAATTTCATAGTAAAAAATGTTGAGATGTGATCCCAGAATTCTATGGGGGAAAAAAAGTCATCTGAGATGTAAACAGAATTTCATGGTAAAAAGAAAAAATCTTAAAATTTAATCATGAATTCCATAGTAAAAATTCAGAGGTAAACTTCCATGGAAAAAAAAATAGAGATTTAACCTTAAATTCCTTGGTTAAAAAAACAAAAAAAAAACAAACAAACTCTGTGAAATGCAAACTCAGAATTCCAACCCAGGCTCAAACGCAGCCCCGTGGACGTTTCTGAAGACTGCGAAATTCGTCCCGGGAAGTACGTATTTGTGCAGTTTTTGTTTTCGCGAATCCGCGAGAGGCCGCTGTGCGCGCTTTATCGCATCCCGACATCTCTCACGAGCGCTGTTCCCAGACTCAAACCCGTAATGCTGTCGTTGCAGTCAGCTACTCTCCGGGTCTCCACTTTGCCAGCATACACGACAAGCTAACTGGACAAACTGGATGTGGCGGGAAAGCCCTCCACACAAGGGTTAAGCTGTCAACCGGTGAGCACGAAGAGGAGCGGTGCCACATCGCCCTGTAGTGTTCGCTTACAAATATGAAATGCAGCCATACGTACCTCCGGCTACATAAATCACAGTTTCCAGGAACTTCCGCGGGACTACGTTTCCAGAATGAGCTTGCCTATGGTTAAAAAAACAATTGACATGCAAATGGTTTAAAAAGAATCCAAGATTTAACCTCAAATTCCCTGGTAAAAATATTCCAAGATGCAAAATCTGAAATTTATGGCGAAAAAAAAAGAGAAATTAGAATCCGAGATGTAAACATAAAATTTCATGGTAAAAATAAATAAATAAATAAAATCGAGATTTAACCCAGAACTCCATAGTAAAAATATTTCGAGATGTAAACAATTCCACAGTAAAAAGAAAGTCTGAAATCAGGGGACTCTATTTTATCAATAAAGGCGCACCGTCTAAAGTCCACATGAGTCCAACTCAGAATTCAATGGTAAAAAAACTATCGATATTTTACTTCAACAATATTCCGAGACGCAAACTCAGAATTTCACAGTAAAACAAAAAAATCTGAACAGAACAGAAGTAAACATTTTTGAAGCTGAAATGCAAATAAGAGTTCTGAGAGAGGAAAGTCAGAACTTCCAGCCTGATCTCACAAGGAAACGTAAGTATTTTATGTTTTGCCAGTTTAGTGGCTAAGTCATACGAGTTCAGTCATACGAAATTGTACAATTTAAAAAAAGGAGGCGTGGCACCAAACCCCACCCCTTAACCCAACCGTCATTGGTGAATGAGCAAATCATACGAATAAGATCATACGAATTCATAAGAATCAGCCACTAAATCAAATATTTACGAACTGCTGTGAGATTGTGTTGGAATTGAAGGATGTAAATTCAGAATTATGAGAAAAAACATCAAAGTTTTCCTACATAAAAGCTCATAACTCTCAGTGCATGAACTAAAGTTTTATTAATGCGGGGTCACTACAGCAGAATGAACCACCAACTTATCCAGCAAGTTTTTACACAGTGGATGCCCTTCCAGCCGCAACCCATCTCTGGGAAACATCCACACACACACTCATACACTACGGACAATTTAGCCTACCCAATTCACCTGTACCGCATGTCTTTGGACTGTGGGGGGAAACCGGAGCACCTGGAGGAAATGCAAACTGAGCTGAGGTTCGAACCAGCTACCCAGCAACCTTCTTGCTGTGAGGCGACAGCACTACCTACTGTGCCACTGCCTCGCCATGAACTAAAGTGTAGCTGTATTATACAAACTCTGCGATTGATGGAGAGACTAAACTGACTCTTGTTAAGATTCTAATTTATCAACAAAATCTGAACTGTACAACTGCTGATTTGTGACAAGCTGAAGTACATTTGTGCTCTGTTTCTCTTCCAGACAAAATACAATGATGGACATGAAGCAGAAAGACAATATAGACTGAAAGTGCAGTGAAAAATCTCTTTATTGTCATTTGAGAAGGTCAGATCAATTTCACTAGTGGCTGATTTTCTGCTTTCTTCCTTGAGTTTATTCTGTTTCCCTTCAGACACTCCATGTCAAAACCACACACAAAAAACACATCAGAAATAATTCATGAATCCATCTGATGTCGAACTTTTGACTTCTGTTTGACCGCCAAAATAACACAAAAAAATGATTATAATAGAATTAGGGCTGGGGAAAGATTAACGATCAATCACATCCAAAATAAAAGTTTGTTTGCATATATAAACAAATACAGTTAAATTCAGAATTATTAGACCCCTTTGAATTTTGTTTCTTTGTTAAATATTTCCCAAATGATGTTGAACAGATTCAGGAAATGTTCACAGTATGTGTGATAATATTTTTTCTTCTGGAGAAAGTCTTATTTGTTTTATTTCGGCTAGAATAAAAGCAGTTTTTAATTTTTTAAACACCATTTTAAGGACAATATTATTAGCCTCTTTAAGCTATGTTTTTGATAGTCTACAGAACAAACCATCATCATACAATGACTTGCCTAATTACCCTAACCTGCCTAGTTACCCTAATTAACCTAGTTAAGCCTTTAAAAGTCACTTTAAGCTGTATAGAAGTGTCTTGAAGAATATCTAGTCTAATATTATTCACTGTCATCATGGCAAAGAGAAAATAAACCAGTGATTAGAGATGAGTTATTAAAACTATTATGATTAGGAAAAAAAATTTGGGGGGGAAAAAAATAAATAGGGGAGCTAATAATTCTGACTTCAACTGTATATACAGTATAATTATTAGCTCCCCTGTTTATTTTTTCCCAGTTTGTTCTGTATACTATTGAAAAAAATATCTTAAGGGGGCTAATAATATTGACGTTAAATTATTAAAAATTAAAAACTGCTTTTATTCTAGCCAAAATAAAACAAATAAGACTTTCTACAGAAGAAAAAACATTATCAGACATACTGTGAACATTTCCTGAATCTGTTCAACATCATTTGGGAAATATTTAAAAAGAAAAAGACTTCAAAGGGGCGAATAAATCTGGCTTTAACCATAAAATAATGTTCATTAAAATTGTATTTTGCATTGATTAATTTTAATATGTTGTCTGTTTCTGTCTGTACTAATAGTTCCTCTATATTTTTTACACTTTTTAACCACATATTTTACCTCCCTTTATATAGTTTATTTTTAAGCTCTTTAAATATTGCAAAACTTATAATTTTCCCCATGATTTATTGTTATTATTATTATGATTTTAGTTGTTATAATTTTAAGGTTATGAGTGGTTGTGTCAGCGTTTCACTGCATATCATGCTGTGTATGACTCTGTATGCGATCAATAAATATTGAATTTGATGTTTTGTGTTTGTTTTGTTTATCCAAGACACTCTTGAAAATTAAATGACAAATCTCAAGAGGATTTCCTTGTAAAATAAAGGTTTAAATAAAAAAAAAAAGCATGAATATATGTTATTTTTGACATTAAGGCAGTCAATTGACTTCAAATTGATTTATTTAATGTGTGTGTGTTTTTTAATGTGGTTTCTAGGTAGCGTCTTTGCACTGAGGTGTATGTTGCGTGTGTGTGTTTTCCTATATCATTGATTGGCGTCAGCGTGGTCAGAAGCTTCATCTGCTGTTGTTTTCAGCCAGTCGGCGACGCAGGTGTTTAGTAAAGTCCACCTGTGCTCGAGGAAGAGCTTTGTTCACCAAAGACTGTGGAAGCCAACCCTGAAAACACAAAACACCTTCAGATTAACACAACACAACACTGTTACTGCACTGCACTCGGGAAACTTACATGCAGATATTTACATGCAGTTTTTGTCTTGTTTCCAGTCCACCATCTGGAGAGTATGTTTTATGTTACAGCCTTATTCCAGAATGGATTAATTTCCTCAACATTCTACACACAATCCCCCATAATGACAATGTGAACAAAGAGTTTTTGAAATTGTTGCAAATTTATGAAACATAAAAAGCTGTAAAATCACATGCACATCAGTATTCACAGCCTTTGGTACACTCATGTCTATTCTGTCTCCACTGATCATTCTGGAGATGTCTCAGCAGCTTCATTGGAGTTCACCTGTGCTCAATTCAGCTTATGAACATGATCTGAAAAGGCTACACCTGTGTATATAAGGGCCCAGGGTTGACAGTGCATGACAAAGCACAAACCAAGCATGAGGACAAAGGAATTGTCTGTAGACCTCCAAACCAGGATTGTCTGGAGGCACAAGGTTGGGGAAGGATACAGAAACATTTCTGCTGCTCTAAAAAGTTCCAATGAGCACAGCGGCCTCCATCATCAATCAGTGGAAGATGTTTAACCACCAGGACTCTTCCTAGAGCTGGCCGGCCATCTAAGCTGAGTGATCAGGGGAGAAGAGTCAGAGAGGTGATCAATAACCCGATGGTCACTCTGTCTGAGCTCCAGCGTTCTTCTGTGGAGAGAGGAGAACCTTACAGAAGGACAACCATCTGTGTAGCAATCCACCAATCAGGCATCTGTATGGTAGAGCGGCCAGACGGAAGACACTCCCCGCCTGGAGTTTACCATCTGAAGGACTCTCAGAGCATCAGAAACTAAACTCTCTGCTCTGATGAGACTCAAACTGAACTGTTTGGAGTGAACGCCAGGCGTTACGTTTGGAGAACAGCAGGCGGCGCTCATCAGCAGGTTAACAGCATTCCTACAGTGAAGCATGGTGGTGTTGGCATCATGCTGTGGGGATGTGTTTCAGCAGCAGGAGCTGGAAGACTAGTCAGGATAGAGGGAAAGATGAATGCAGCGATGTACAGAGACATCCTGAATGAAGACCTGCACAAGAGTGCTCTCCACCTCAGACTGGGGCGACGCTTCATCTACCAGCAGGACAATGACCCAAAGCACACCGCCAGAATATCAGTGAAGCGGCACAACAACAACTCGGGGAATGTGCTTAAGTGGCCCAGCCAGAGCCCAGACCTAAATCCTATTGAACATCTCTAGAGAGATCTGAAAATGGCTGTACACCGTCACTTCCCATCCAGCCTGATTACCTTGAGATGTCCTGCAAAGAGGAACGGGCAGAAATTCCCAAAGACAGGTGAGCAGAGCTTGTGCATCATATTCAAGAAGACTTGAGGCTGTAATCACTGCCAAAGGTGCATCAACAAAGTGTTAAGCAAAGGCTGTAATACTGATGTACATCTGATTTATCAGCTTTTTTATTTTTAATAATTTTGCAACAATTTCAAACACTCTTTGTTCACATTGTCATTATGGGGGATTGTGTGTAGAATGTTGAGGAAATCAATCAACTTAATCCATTCTGGAATAAGGCTGTAACATAAAAACATGTGGGAAAAGAGAAGCGCTGTCAATACTCTCTGGTTGCACTGTATCTATAGTTTATGTAATAATGGTGTTAGGAGTTCAAAATCGAGCTTAAAAAACAACTAAATGAGATCAGCCCTCATGAAAACAAACAACATAAAAGATTACTATTTTATTGGAGTAATTTAAGAAAAGTCACCAAATTTCAACATAATCTTTTTTTTCTGCTGTCAAATTGGTGCGCAGGTGACCTGTACGTCAACAGGAGGGTTCTTCAAACAATGGATTAAAAGAAAAGTTCCTCTGATGTTGAGTTTTGAGAGTGAATTTTGGGGGGATGTCATGTCTTGTACCTTGACATCCATGTTGAGCAGCCAGGTGAAGCGGCTGCGGTGCGGAGCATCCTGAAGTGGCTGTAGGATGATGCAGGTCGGTCCATCTTCAGCCCTACACACACGCACGCACGCACACACACACAAACATACACACACATTTATAGACTCAATCACTGCAGATTATGTTCAATTATAGCAAGAGTTCAGCACAAATTAAATTCAGTCCAGTTTCATCGACCAGAACCTGAGTGTGTGTGTTAATACATCTCACCCTGTTCACCTGTGTGTTTTGGCTTAAAAATCTAATTGGAATGAGGCTGAAGGGAGAAAATGATCATTGATTTTTGGGAAAGGCTGTCCTTTATCTTGGATAAATCCCTGGTAACACACTGAATTGCTGGATTTGGGCAGTGTGCAAAAAAAAAAAAGTGAAAAAAAAAAGATTTTACAATAAAACATTTGTGGTTTTGAACCAATAATTGTACAGTAAATATATAGCGTACAGTACACAGTAAAGCAGCTGCTTGAATTGATCTGTTGTGGGGATTCTACAGTTGCTATGGTAACAACTATAGTAATTGATCTGTTGTGGTGATTCTACAGTTGCTATGGTAACACAACAACTATAGTAATTGATCTGTTGTGGTGATTCTACAGTTGCTATGGTAACAAAAACTATAGTAATTGATCTGTTGTGGGCATTCTACAGTTGCTATGGTAACACAACAACTATAGTAACTGATCTGTTGTGGGCATTCTACAGTTGCTATGGTAACACCACAACTATAGTAATTGATCTGTTGTGGGCATTCTACAGTTGCTATGGTAACACAACAACTATAGTAATATAAACAGATGACCAATGATTGTTGTTTCCTAAAACTATAAGGTATATTATATTACAATACACCACAGTTCACTATAGTAAACAGTAAAGGATACTACACTGTTAGTACACTATTAAAGTATGCACTGTTTACCTGACGAAGCCCGGCTGTGGTGGCAGAGACTCAAACCGAGTCGCAGCTCCGCCCAGATAAACACATGATTCGCTCTTGGACGAATGTCTGACGCTCAGGAAATCCCGCTGGCCAATGAGGTTCCCCGCAGTTTCCGCTGACACTTCGTGCGTTACCAAGGTGTTTCCCCCCACGTGTTTCAGAACCTGCGACGTGTTCAGAAGATCATATTTACAGGATCAACACTACATTCTGTGAGTTTATGAGTTGACAACACTTCAGAGAGAAACTACATCAAGTGGAAAAGAGCACAGTAGATTATTATTTACTTTTAATACAACAAAATATTTCCTCATGCTGTAACAAATGTTATCACTTTATTTTGATGGTCTGTTTGTTAAATTTAAGTTTAATTGCATCTACATGCCAACTAATTCTCATTAGATTATCAGTAGACTTAGTGTAAGTTGACATGTACTTGCAAAGTCTCTTAAAGTCTGTTGAAAGAGCAGTATCAGCAGATGTTAAGCAGACAGTCTACTAATACTCCAATGAGCCATCATAATAAAGTGTTACCCAAATGTTTTTCAAATGCACGATGTAACATTAGCAACATGTCATGAAATCACTATATTAATATATAATATCTAGATTCAATATTTACAGAGTTGATGTCTAAATTATTCACCCTCCTGTGTTAAAAATATTTTTCCCTAATGGAGAGAATATAAACAAATAGATAGATAGCTAAATAATCTGCCAATGGGGTGAAAAATATAGGCAAGGCAAGTTTTTTTTGTATAGCACACTTCGTACACAATGGTAATTCAAAGTGCTTTACATAAACAAGAATAAAAGAAACGAGAACATAAAAACAAAAAACAAATAAAAAAATATTAAAAACAGATTGCTTTCCAGTGATGGGTTGCAGCTGGATTGGCATCCGCTGTGTAAAAAGTGCTGGATGAGTTGGCGGTTCATCCCACTGTGCCAATCCCAGATTAATAAAGGGACTAAGCCAAAAAGAAAATGAATTAATTAATAAAAACAGATAAAAAATTTGTTAAAACAGGTTCATTATCTTAATTCAAAAGAGAAAAAACTAGCTTAATCCCTAGATTAAATTCTAACTCTAACTCTAACTCTAACTCTAACTCTGACCCACCAGCTAGCTCTCTGCAACCCTCACATGGTCGCCCACTAAAGCTACGCTGCGCCCGGTCAGTACCTGGATAGGAGACCACATAGGAAAGCCAGGTTGCTGCCAGAAGTGGTGTTAGTGAGGCCAGCAGAGGGCGCTCAACCTGTGGTCTGTGTGGGTCTTAACACCCCAGTATAGTGAAGGGGACTCTATACTGCTCAGTCTGCCTGTTAAGTGGGGACGTGTTTGTGACATATGTATACTGTTTCCAGGTCCAAGCCGCCATTCATTTGAGTGGAGAAATCATTCGTTTATGATTCGTTTTATTCCGATCACACATTAAAGTTAATTTTACATAAAGTCATAGTGTACACAACAATCTCTGGGCTTGCTGCATAACAAATACCAAAAATGTAACAATTTATAAAACAATGAATGACTTTCTGGCCATCGGATATTAGGCATGGACATATATACTGCCATCATGATTTTCGATAGCATTAAATCACTTTGTAAACGTTTATTATTATCATTTCATGAATCTCCCCTTTCAGTTGAATAGAGCGCTTGGACCCGGAAGCCGCTTCGCGTGACGTCACACTTAACAAGCAGGTAAGCGCTGTCTTTCAGATGAGATGCTAAATCGAGGTCCTGATTCTCTGTGGTCGTTAAAAAAAAAAAAAGAGTAGGGGTTTCACCCCTGGGAAATTTGGCCACTGGCCTCCATCCATCATGGCCTCCTAAACCTCCCCATATCATTACTGGCTTCATCACGCTATCTCCTCTCCACCAATCAGCTGGTGTGTGGTGTGCGGTCTGGTGCAATATGGCTGCTGTCGCCTCATCCAGGTGGATGCTGCACACTGTTGCTGGACGAGGAGATTCCCCCCAATGTGTGTAAAGCACCTTGAGTGTTCAGAAAGCGCTATATAAATGTAAGGAATTACTATTATTATTTCACTTACACTATTGGCAGATTATTTTGCTTGTTTAAATTTAAAAAAGTACTTAAGTTTGACTCATTATTTATTAAAACAACACAGTGGCTGTTTCTCAATATGCGTTCTTCAGCGGTCTTGCGTCCTCGTGTTCTCGTTGTTACGGCATCATCATTTGCCAAAGTTCAGTTGCAATATTTCAAGACCACAAGAACGGAGGACGTGTGGAAGTTCACAGATGTGTTCTTGATATCGAGGACGCACTGATGCAGACTTGAGTACCGCACTCACTCTAGAAGTCCCAGAAGTCATTGCGACTGGAGGTGGGAAGCGCAGCATTTTATATACAGTAGGTTTATTAATAAAGTTCAGATATTTGACTTATTTATCTGAGGAGTTTCCCCTTAATGACATGGTGAAAGTAAAGATTACCATGAACATCTTAATAAAGGAATAAACACATTAAGGGTGTTTATTTGCTGAAATTCATATTAAAACCTGTTTTATTTATATAGTGCAGCGCATATTTATAGTGTTTTTATGCAGAATATATATTTTGAAAGGGGGAAAAACAATAAATGGTTGTATAAATGCTGTAATGTTTAAGTTTCCATTAAAAATGTGTGAAGGTCATGTGACCATCAGGAAGAACTCAGCATCTCATTTCTCAAAGCACGCGTTTTACATTTACATTTAGTCATTTAGCAGACGCTTTTATCCAAAGCGACTTACAAATGAGGACAAGGAAGCAACTTACACAATTATAAGAGCAACAATGAATAAGTGCTGTAGGCGAGTTTCAGGTGTGTAAAGTCTAAGAAGGAAAGTATTAGTACTTTTTTTTTTTTTTTTTGGGTACAGATATCCAGAGAGGCAATTGCAGATTAGGAAGGGAAGTGGAGACTAAATAGTTGAGTTTTTAGTGGTTTCTTGAAGACATCGAGTGACTCTGCTGTTCTGATGCAGTTAGGGAGTTCATTCCACCAACTGGGCAGATTGAATGCGAGAGTTCGGGAAAGTGATTTCTTCCCTCTTTGGGATGGAACCACGAGGCGACGTTCATTCACAGAACGCAAGTTTCTGGAGGGCACATACATCTGCAGAAGTGAGAGCAGATAAGGAGCAAAGCCAGAAGTCGCTTTGTAGGCAAACATCAGAGCTTTGAGTTTGATGCGAGCAGCAACTGGCAGCCAGTGCAAACGGATGAGCAGCGGAGTGACATGTGCTCTTTTAGGTTCATTAAAGACCAATCGTGCTGCTGTGTTCTGGAGCAGCTGAAGAGGCTTGATAGAGTTAGCTGGAAGCCCGGCTAGTAGAGAGTTGCAGTAATCGTTTTCTGTTCTCGTGGTCTCCCGAGTTCGTTCTTCTGATGTGACCTGGCAAAACCAGTCTTCACAAGAACGCAAGTCCATTCTCTGCGTTCTTGGAATTGAGAAATGGAAAATACTTCTTGATTTAAGAATTACTTGATATTTTGACAAGAAACAAGACAAAAACTCTAATTAAGAAATGAATGATTTGCTGTGGAACCTTTCACCGGATGTAACCCCTCATACAGCACATTTGGCTTAGAGTGGGAACCATAGCGGTAACCCTCCCGTTTTTCCCGGGATTCTCCCATATTTTACTGTTCTATCCCGTTATCATCCCATAAAGGCATTTTCCCGTATTTCTCCCGTGTTTTCAGTCTTTCTCTGAACAGCCGAGCCTCAATATACGCAACCCATACCACCGAAACCACCAGGGGTCGCCCCTTGCTTAAAACGTAAGTCTTCTGTGCTTTTGCTTTGTTTAGGAATGAAAGAACTTATAAATAAATGTTAAAAACGGCGCGATTCCATTTCCTTTAGATTACAGGTCCCGTCGCCCCTCCTATACAATCCTCGAAACAGTCATATAGCAGTGCGTGACTGTCAGCTGACAGCTCCATAGAGATATAAACAGACGCTGTTTCCCAAACGGATTCTGTTCACGCGATTTGAACCGGAGAGAAAGTCTGGCTTTTGGGTGCGTGTTTAAACAGACATACACACATAATTAATGATAATAACGTACAGGGCCGGAGTGGGACTCTTTTTCAGCCCTAGAGTTTCAAGCCTCGGACCGGCCCACCTCAGTTCATGACTGACGATATTAAAATAAGGTCATTTCCAATTCAGTTTCTAATTACACTATCACGTCTTTTTTTGAGAAAACAGCTGCTTTAGAACTTCAAATGTTCTACAACCCTTACAGTATTATATGTCTTAACAATAAAAATGAAAAAACAAATACCATACTCAGACGAGGATCAAACCCGGGTCAGCAGCGTTGTAATCTAGCATGCTAACCACTGGACCACAACAATTGTATAATTAGAAATAACTCATCTAAATTTTAATATCATTAACCTGCAGGCTGGTCATATTTGAAAAGAGCAGAGCTGTGGTAAAATAATGAGTAAGAAGGCTGTGGTCAAGTAAATAAATTAATTAATTTAAAAAGTGTGACTGCTGGGAGCAACAGATTCTGGAGCTAGGGACACCGGCCCCCACGGCCAAAAAACGGACCGGCACACCGGGAATTCTCCCGGTCCTCCCAATTAGCCAATCCGGGCCTGATAACGTATAAGGATGTCGATCTTGGTGTTTTTCCAAACACAACTAATTTCGTCTTAAATGAGCATAAAAGGAAAACAGTAAAGGAAAGCAGTCAAATGCTTTCATTATAATGTTAGGGTGCTTTCACACCTACACTTTTGTTTCAGAACGTGTCTTGTTTGCGCAGTTAGCGCGGTTCGTTTGGCATATGTGAACAGGGCAATCACGCTCTGTTCCGCGCCAAAGTAATCGCTCCGAGATCGCTTGAATGAGGTGTTCTCGGCTCGATTGAAACGAACCCTGGAGCGGTTCGATTGCAGTGAGAAAGCGATCCGATCCGAGTGCGGTTATATCACAGTGTTTTATGGATATGTAATAGGCTTACGGCTCTATGAAGAGAGAATTATGAGTAGGGCGGGAAGTTTCGCGAGTCTTCGGATGCCCGCAAACGAGTGATGATCTCCCGGTAATCTCGCGTCTCTCTCCCAGTCCTCAAATAGGCATCATCGCGCACCCTTCTGACCCCTCCCCACCGCATCTCTCCTCAGACACGTCGCGCGCGCACCCTGTCAATCACCACCAAACCACCACCTCTCCTGACAGCTGAGCGGGACGCTGCAAAATAAACCCTGACACTCTGACCGATGTAAGGAGAGTTTACTCGCACGTGACTTGTTTTAGCTCTTTTGGTCCGATTAGAAACTTTGCAGTGTGAACGCGAACCGCTCCAAGAGCAAAGAGCAACAATGTAACAATTTTAATCTCTGTTTCTAGACAACTGAATCCATTCACAGGTGTGAAAGCAGCCTTAGATGTGTGCATTTTTAAAGTGACACCTGTTATTTAATGTAAAAAAAAAAAAAATCTAAATAAATGAGAGATTCATTGGCTGCTCTTTAATCAGAATGTGTGAGTTATACAGTAGAGAAACGGCTAATGAGGTTTGATAGCTTAATTCTATTTCAATATAATAGCTATTAATTTTAATAAGCTGAACTGTTTGCTAATGTATTTGCTGCTAATGTGTATATTTATTTTATTATAATTGTTTTATAATATATAGGGATTGGGGGAATCCCTTGTTATGGTGGGCATATGCCTTATTTTCACATCCCAATGTTGACAGGTATAATGGGAACCCTGAAAACTTCATTTTAGTTTTTTTTAAAGTGATATACTAATGATAAAGAGTCTGACCGTGATGCGTCTGATGCTGGGGTTCCACTCATGCATCTCCTCCACCCTGAAGAACAAAATGTCATGCAGTTCATCTGCAGTCGCGTCCAGATCAGCCTCCAGGCGGAAAACCTTCCTGTTCCCCGTCAGGACTTTACTATAGATCACATCTCCGTTCTTCTGAAGGGAAGAAGACATTCAGCATTAGCTGTGTATACATATGAAGAATTGCAGACGTGCAGTTTTTTCTTATCAGATAAGGCTCAGGAGAAAACGTAAGTATTTTACGTTTTGCCAGTTTAGAGGCTAATTCATACGAGTTCATACGAGTTTAGCGGTACGAAATTGTACGATTTTAAAAAGGAGGCGTGGCACCTAACCCCACCCTTAACCCCAAGCGTCATTGGGTGATGAGCAAATCGTACTAAATTGTACGAATTAGATTGCACGAATTCAAACGAATTAGCTACTAAATCAGAAAGTTACAAATTGCCGTGAGATTGTGTTGGTTTATTGTACTCGGATAAGTGCATATGTTTTCAAATTTGCCTTGGCAGTGAGCATTTTTCATGTGATAATATAATATTCATTCATTCATTTTCCTTCGGCTTAGTCCCTTTACTCATCAGGGGTCGCCACAGGGGAATTAACCGCCAACTTATCCAACAATGTTTTACGCAGAGGATGCTGTTCCAGCCAAAACCCAGTACTGGGAAACACCCATACACACTCATTATCACTCATACACTACGGTCAATGTAGTTCATCAATTCCCCTATAGCGCATGTGTTTGGACTGTGGAGTAAACCGGAGCACCCGGAGTAAATCCACGCCAACACGGGGAGAACATGCAAACTCCACACAGAAACACCAACTGACCCATCTGGGACTTAAACCAGAGACCTTCTTGCTGTGAGGCCACAGTGCTAGCCTCTGAGCCACCGTACTGCCCCTTACAAAATAATAGTTGTATGTAAACGTATATTAACATTGAGGAGTGTGTTTCACCTCCGCCGTCTCCAGTGTCCAGCCGTCTCTGTTCTCCACGATCTGCAGAGCTTCATTCAGAGCCGCTTCTCCCTGCTTCTGATAAAACACATCATCTTCATCTGCCAGAGCTGCTGATCCTGAAACACACACACACACACACACACACACACACACACACACACACACACACACACACACACACACACACACACACACACACACACACACACACACACACTTCAGCATTTACCACAGTTACTGCAAAAAACATCACATTTAAGATCAGATCAGAGGATCAGAAGAGCTTTATTCATTCATTCATTTTCCTTTGGCTTAGTCTCTTTATTAATCAGGGGTCGCCACAGCAGAATGAACCGCCAACTTATCCAGCATTTGTTTCACACAGCGGATGTCCTTCCAGCTGCAACCCAATATTGGGAAACACCCATACACACTCATTCTCACACACACATACACTACGGCCAATGAAGTTAATCAATTCCCCTATAGCACAAGTGTTTGGACTGTGGAGTAAACCGGAGCACCCGGAGGAAACCCACACCAACAAGGGGAGAACATGCAAACAGAAACACAGGGCTGACCCAGCCGAGGCTCGAACCAGTGACCTTCTTGCTATGAGGCCACCGTGTCACAGAAAGAGCTTCATAGCAGGTATATTTACACTTGCAGGTACATTTATTTACACACATGAGGAATTTGTTTTCAGAGACAAACACACAGATAATAAGTAATGCTGCTCACTGTGTGTGTGTCTGATGGAGCTGCGTGCAGGAAAGCTGAATCTGTTCTGCAGAAGTCTGAACTCCTGACCAAAAACTGCGAGAGCTGCACGCTGCAGACCTGGAGAACACACACACACAGATATAACACACACCCTCACACAGATCAATCAATCAATCAATCAATCTATCTATCTATCTATCTATCTATCTATCTATCTATCTATCTATCTATCTATCTATCTATCTATCTATCTATCTATCTATCTTTCTATCTATCTATCTATCTATCTATCTATCTATCTATCTATCTATCTATCTATCTATCTATCTATCTATCTATCTATCTTTCTATCTATCTATCTATCTATCTATCTATCTATCTATCTATCTATCTATCTATCTATCTATCTATCTTTCTATCTATCTATCTATCTATCTATCTATCTATCTATCTATCTATCTATCTATCTATCTATCTATCTATCTATCTATCTTTCTATCTATCTATCTATCTATCTATCTATCTATCTATCTATCTATCTATCTATCTATCTATCTATCTATCTATCTATCTATCTATCTATCTATCTATCTATCTATCTATCCATCCATCCATCCATCTCTGTCTGTCTGTCTGTCTGTCAATCTGAGCATGTCACTTGCACAAAATGGAGAGCTCGTTTCTCAAAAGCAAGTATTGATGTCAATGAAAGTTTCAGTGCCATCAAGATGAAAAGTCCTGACACCATTGTTTATGAACATGATAGTCAAATGGCTGTTATGTTTTCATTATGACACTTTACTCTGGACATTTTTTCAGTGCAAAAACAGTCAGATGTTGGTGACACTTCCTGTAAATGCTCAATACAGCTCTATATACTATCTGTACAGCCATTAGAAAACTACAGTAAAGTCAGACATCACTGCAGTTAGTGAAGTGTCTGAGTACAAGACAGTGAATATGTATGTTTCACATGTTTACTGCATTTGCTCTTTGCAGTCCTGATTTACTCACAGCACTGTGCAAAATAATAAACAGACCCTTATTTACAACAAACATACACTTCCTCTGGGTAGAGCTGTGCACAACTGTAGACAATACTGCAGAACATACTGGAACTGAGCCTACAACACACACAGGTCTGGGAATCATTCATCAAATTGTTCAATTTTAAAGACATTTTCAGGAAAATAAAGATTTAAATTTGTTTTATAAAATTTGCTTGACAGATTTTGACAACAAGTTCAACATTTTTGTATGTAATGACTCCAGTAATGAAATGAGGACTGTTAGTTTTATATGGAGTGACTATTCAGCAAAAGTTCAGTTTATTTTGACTGACATGACATAAGCAGATGATAATGTTATAAACAGCAGAGAGTTTTATGAAAGCAATTGATGCATGGCTGAAAGCATTCGCAATTTGTTGGAAGGAATGAGAAACTGCTACTATGATGTGCACAAATGACTGATTGTTTTGAGAAATGCCTGACCTGTTGTGCAAATGTAAATAGTGTTGAGAGAAATGCAGCAAAGCCACTGAGAAAAACTGTAATATAAAGTGGGACCGAAATGGTTTTGTGTGTCAATTAGTTTTTTTTGTGGAGGAGGGTTGTCGGAGGCTCAGGGAATGGTCTTTTGTTGTTTGTTACTTTTGTTGTTGGTTTTTAATTTCTTTTGTTCTGTTCTAGGGTTCTTTTTTCAAATGACATGTCTACATTATAGGAATGTGCTGTGATGAGGAAAATATATATTTAGTTTTATGTGCCTTTCCAGAGACTATATGACTAATTGGTTGCCAATATACTTATGGATGATATGATGTTTCCCTTTTTTTCCATCTATCTGCTGGCTTATTAGTAAGGATTACTATAATTTCTACAACTCATTGCACATTTTTGTAAAACTTGCCTTTAACTATGTCTGTAAAAGCACATTGTATAATCATTTTGATAACCTTAAATAAACATGTTTAAAAATAAATAAATAAATAATTAAATAAATAAATAAATAAATGTATATATTTATTTGATGCATGTCCAAAAGCATTCGCAATTTGTCAAGCAAATTTTAT